TGATTTGCATTTCTCTGATTGCTAATGATGGTGAGCATTTTTTCATGTACTTGTTGATTGATTGTATGTCCTTCTCTGAGAAATGTCTGTTCAGGTCCTTGGCCCATTTGTTGATTGGGTTATTTGTTATCTTATTGTTTAATTTTTTGAGTTCTTTGTTCATTCTGGTCAGAAATTTTACACTAAACAGTAACATAAATTATTTACCAATTCTTTTTTTTCTCCGTGATATCACCCTCATTTTTCTGATATTTTTCTTTAGATATGTAAATAATTTGGATAGTCTTAAGTTTTCTTTTTTTTTTCAGATAAGTATAGATTTCTGTTCACCTAGTAGACTGTGGTGCTTCTCACTGCCAGTACCAAGCTGAATATTAGSGATATAATCTGAAAAAGAAAAAGGTAGTCATGTTACCTAGGCTGCTGGAATCCCAAATAACTGGATTTGGTTGCCTGCCTACAAATCAGAAATAGAGAAAAAGACATAAAAAGGAAAAATGAATTTAATCACAGTTTGATCAAAACAGATGTCTTTTCCCTTTCTACAGAGAGGTTACAATTTATAGGAACAAAATTCAGAAAGTGTACGTATGAAGATTTAACTAGACTGTGCTAGCCAGAGATAGGTTATAATTCCAGTTTTGTTGGTGCCCTCCAGGGCCAGGGGGGCACCTTCTCAGTTTCCATTCTCAGGAAGCTGGGATGGAAAAAATTCAGGTTACCAGGAAATGGGGAAGGAAAAAAGAAAAACAATGTGTGGTTTTTAATTTCAAAGGGGCCCCTTTATAGTCACTGTAACAAAATCCTTTTACAAAACAATGAAGACTATAATCAAAGATATATATGAATATACAAATAAGTTAAGAGAAAGATACATTTAATTTATTCTTATGCTTTGAGAGTCATTTTGCTGCCATGAAATGTCTGAAGTAGCAGATGGCTTCTGTTGCACATCTGTTTGGCATTGCTTACCTCTGGAAGGTACTGGTCTCCTTTCCTCTGGAGGGATCTTGGTATGGCTTGCAGGCTACTGTGTGATGGCTGTGTACAGAGACAGTCTGGGCAGGCACAGTGGTGACTAGCACAGAGCTGTACTCATAATGACTTTTTCTGATAATAGTTTTGTTAAAGCTACTGAGAGTGTAGCATAGTAGTTCAGAATGCAGGGGCTGGAGTCAGACAGATCTATGTTTAAACCCTGACTTTGCCACATCTTTATGATGAATTTTAAAAAAGTCTTTTAATTTCTTTAAAGCTCAGTTTCTTTAACAATATGCTGAAGGCAAAGCCTTTTTTCTTCAGGTTATTATGAAAATAATAATGTAAAATGCCTGTCACATTGTAAGATTTATAAAATGTTACGTTTTAGTTAGGAGAAATTTGACTGAGAGTCAAGGAATATTCCTATTTGCTTTAAAATTTTGTATTCTGTATTATTTCTCCCAAATGACTATTTAAGAAAATGTCAAATAACATGTTAACTCCTACTTTATTACATATGTTTTACTTTCTCTCCTTTATTCTCTTTACTTAGGCTTTTTTACTATCCACTTTTTCATAATTTCCAAGTTTTTTTTAGCACTTATTAAGGTTTCATTTAATTAATTAATGAGAGTCAGCAAAAGAAAAAGAGAGAGTTTCTAGAGCATTTGAAAAGCAGAAACTTTATATAGTTAATTGGGAAAGGATATGTAAGTTAGACACAAAGCTGTTTAATGTCATGAAGGGCAGTGAAGTCATAAACTTTGGAGTTATCTTTCCTGCCAAGTTTTAATTTTTTAATTTAAAGTTTTAAACTTTTTCTTGCACAATAATTAACTATGGTTTAGTACTTAATTTTCAACAACCATAATAAAAATTTATAAGACGATTTACCATTACTAGGAGGACTTAGAAAGACTTTTTGAAATCAGGGAGGAGAAATGCTAATGGGGAAAGATCTTCTTTTCCTATTTTTATGCCTTTAATTTCTTTTGTCTGTCTAATTGCTCTGGCTAGTATTTTGAGAACTAAATTGAATAGAAATGGTGAGAGAGGGCATCCCTGTCTTGTTCCAGATTTTAGAGGGAATGCCTTCAGTTTTTCTCCATTTAGAATGATGCTAGCCTGAGGCTTAGCATATATAGCTTTTACAATGTTGAGGTAAGTTCCTGTTATCCCTAGTTTTTCTAGTGTGTTGAACATAAAGGGATGCTGTACTTTGTCGAATGC